CCTCCCTCCCTTCCTTCCTTCCTTCCTTCCTTCCTTCCTTCCTTCTTTCCTTCCTTCCTTCCTTCCTTTTTTCCTTCCTTCTTTCCTTCCTTCCTTTGCTGAAACAGCATATGTACTACTACATATTTGACAATTTTGTGAGTATTACAAAATAAGATACAGATCAATCTTTATGCTGACGCTGGCTGGCACAGTTCAGAGACTGTTTTGAAGTTGCATGAGGAGAAACATGGCTCTCGTGTTTTCCTGACTGTGTCAGTGGCACTTTGGTTCTAGAAATAATGTCTTCTTCATCATGGAGAAAGCAATACATCCCCTGGTTGTAGATTGTGTGGTGTCGCTAGCTTGGGGATTTGTTTCTTAAAGTGTAACCTAAAGTTTGTTTCTTCAGCCCTCCAGGCAATTCTGCAAACTCTTTAATAAATGGTAATAAATCCTTATCTGTTGAATACTTAGAGAAAACTATGTTTTTTTCAGCTTAAACCTTATGAAACAGACTCCAATGCCCAGAGAGTTAGAAGGATTGAACTTTGCTAACTGAGATGGGAGGTTGATTTCAGGAGAAATAACAAGCATTTTATTTCTAAGTTTAGTTTGAAACTCTATTAAACTTCAAGTTTAATATCAGTTAGATAGTTTGGGCTGGAAATACAAAGTTTTAAGTATTCTATGTATAAATAATACTTAGAGTTGTGAGATCTGATGAGATCACTGAGAGAGTAAATATCAAGAAACAAGAGACAAGATTAATTGACTGAGCCCTGGAGCTCTCCAAAGTTTAGAGACCGGGACTGCAGGCTAGGGGGGTGGATGAGGAAGATCCAGCCAAACATACTAAGGAGTGATCAGTCAGTAAGTGGAAAACTAGATGAATGGTGTCCCAGGAGCCAAATGAAGAAATATTTTAAAAAGTAGGGGAAGGTCATCTATGTGAAATGTAAACATGTCAAGGAAATGAGTACTAAGATGGTGACTGGTTTTGCAACCCAAAGGCTAAAACTAGCTATAATTGGTACAACTTTGTCAATTAGAAATCATTTCTTAATAAGCCTCATCAGTGTTCAAATTCCAATATTCATGAAGAACAAACAAATGTCTAGCACTAGGGTAGAATAAAAAATAAGTGTGAAAGACTGTGGAAGGATAGTTAGAAACCAGAACAACTAGCACACAGGTTACACCATTAGTATTAAGTAGCAAGCACACTATTTTAGAAATTTAAGGGAAAAAGGCAAGCAAAAGGCCATAGCCCTACTTCAGTAATGGTTTCAGTTGTGCATGTTCCATTTAGATCTTAATGAGAAAAGTAAACCTGATTATGTCAGTAATCTGCTTAAGAATTTCTCCTTGTTATTAAGATAAATTTACACTTACTAGCAGAATGCACATAGCTCATAGTGGTTTGACCCCTACCTCCGTCTTCAGCCTCATCTCCCTGCTCCATTCCATCACACCTTGAAAGACTAAGCCACCCAAAGCTCCTCTAAGGAGCTCTCACTTCTGCACTTCCCTCTTCTTCCACAGTAATTCACCTGCAGGAAAATTTTCTGTTTTTCGGGACTCAACTCACTTGTCTCCTTCTCTAAGCCTTCTCTTGTTTTTCACCACCTTATCTCAGGGTTTAATGTTCATCTCATGTGTTAACAAATCACCCAACAACATCTCTATACTAGAATCGCAGCACTCATCACTAAGAATTATAATTATTATCCAACTTCTGTCTCCTTCATGAGGCCAATAAACCACAAGAAAACAAGGGCCATAACTAAATTTATTTCTATCTTTAGGACCTAGAGTGGTACCTCCCACAAGATATAGTAAGTGCTCAGTAACTCCCTGATAAATGAATGAATAAACAAAGATCATTGAACAGCTTTAGAGCCTTTCTCATACTATTAGGTTTTTAGTGATTTTCTTTTTCGTTTTCCTTTTGTTACATACACCTCATGAACATCTTTAATCAGATCTGTCTAATTTTATGTTTAAAGAGGTATTAAATCTGAATGAAACAGACTCTGAGAACTGAAGCAATCCCCACCAGAAAAGACGTAAACCTACTTGTTGAAGAAACAAAGGGAAAGGACCCAAGGAATTCTCCTGCATAGAGCAGGGGATGGGTGCCCATCTCCTCTTGGCACGCCTGAGAACAGTTTCTCTAGTGTGTCTTTTCTTCAATACCTGAATTTAGATAAAAACAAATACATAAATAAACAAAAGCATCACAGTCTACTTCGTGTAAAACAGTGGACAGCCCATAAACCTAAGGTTTCTTTGGAGGTTCAGTGTCAGACATTCCCATGCTGAAGCTAAACCAGTTAATTAAGTCTTTCCACATTAGAAGGGTAAGAAAGAATATATCCAGATTTTAAAGGTTTCAGAAAACAGAGAATTTCTTTTTGTATACCATTCTAACAATGACTATACTTTCATATCAGGGAAATCATCGCTAAATTCTTAGTTCTTCTTGCTTTGTCCCACATAGAGACAGAGAACACATTCTCTCTACAACCATCTCCAGATGGCACTTACCTGTTCTTTTAGTTAAAAGCTCATGCCCTCGGATCAATCAGAGGAAAAATAATGGATGTCCTTCACTGCCACACTGTTCTATCTGCACTGTCCAGTACGGCAGCCCCTGGCCACTGTAAGTCATGTATTTAAATTTAAATTAACTGGAATTTAATAACACAAGAAGCTCTCTCCTTCGGTTGCACTAGCCACATGCCAAGTGCAGAGCAGCCATTAATATCGAGCTACGATATCAGACAGTGCAGATAGTGCACGTCTCTGTCAGGGGAGAAAGTTGTATTGGACTTTTTAGTGATGTCCATCTCATTTCATGATGCAGCCAGGGAGATGTTTTATTTCATGAGAATTAATAAATAATTGCCTTAAACATTTACCAAAGTGCTAAGCTGTAACTTAAATTAGCTTTATTATTAATATGGTTAACACAGATTAACTCTAATCCAGTCTCACTCTTTCATCATTTTGTGACTACTTTCATAGCAGCATTCCTTACTGTGAAGGCTTTGCATTAAAAAAAATTCTGAATACTATAATAGAGGGATAACCAAACTGACATCAGTGCACAGAAGACATGATTAGAAACTATTTCTCCTCTCACAGAGGAGAAATAATTAAGCCTTAAGAAAGAGAGGGAGAGACAAAAAGAGCAAGAGTAAGAGTGGAGGATAGAAGAAAGGGAGAGAGGGAAAGTAACAGAGGGAAAAAAGAGAAGGGGAAGAAGGAGAAGGAAAGGAGAAAGAAAAGGGAAGGAATACAAAGGATGGTAGGCTGGGCGCGGTGGCTCATACCTGTAATCCCAGCACTTTGGGAGACTGAGGCGGGTGGATCACGAAGTCAGGAGTTTGAGACCAGCCTGACCCACATGGTGAAACCCCGTCTTTACTAAAAATACAAAAATTAGCCGGGCGTGGCAGCGCGTGCCTGTAATCCCAGCTACTCAGGAGACTGAGGCAGGAGAATCGTTTGAACCCGGTAGGCAGAGGTTGCAGTGAGATGAGATCATGCCACTGCTCTCCAGCCTGGAGGACAGAGCGACACAGCGAGACTCCAGTAAGAAAATGGAAGGGGAAAGGTAAGAAAATGGAAGGGAAGGAAAAGGGTAAGAAAATAGAAGCAAAGTGAAAGGAAAGGAAACAAAATGAAAAGAAAAGGGGAAAATGTCCTGTTTATACTTTGTCTCTCTTTGCAATTTTTAATGAGAGTACTTTAATGAAAAAAATGCCTGAAAATATTTACTGTACTTTAAATACCTTCTTCTGATGTTCTAGCAGCACAGCAACCTCTTTTTGTGTCTGTTTCCTTTTGTCGGAAAGCCGTATGGTGAATGATCTTTTCTCATCAGACAGCACAACATCCCTGGCTGTGTACACTGACCCATCATTTAGAACCCTGAAATCAGGATCACTTGACTGGATAAGGTCTGCAGAGCTGAAGCACTCTTCCAAATTAACTGCAAGTAAAAATTTCCAAGTTGTAAGGTAGAAACACATGAGAAGGAAAAATACGTTAAAACAATTTATATAATCTTCTTACAAACCATGAAGTGGAATGAAATAAGCTAATCACTTTGCATTTAACAGATATCTCGACCTGTTTTTTTACATTACTTAAAGAAAGATCATTTTCTTTCCGTTAAAAAATAATTATTGAGTGTATATTTCTATTGAATAAGGTGTTTTAAACCTTTTTATGTTTCTGATAGACTTATGAAAATGACCTTCCAGTTAAAGGTGTGGGATGTTATAATCATGACAAAACTGAGCTACAAGCCTAGGCCCCCAACACACCTGAATAAACATATAGAAGAATTTCCTTAACAATACAGTCTGAGTGTTTAAGATACACCTATGTTCAGTGAGAAGTCATGAGCCCAAGAGCGATGGGGTGTATGAGTTTGGAAAAGAGTCACATAAGAAAACTCCAATCTTCGAATTGTTCTTCTCACTGGCACTCTTCTGTACACATTTTCCCTGCAGGCCCACAATACTCTGTGTGTTCCAAGCTTTCCAGGGCCCCACACTGAAACTCTACATGGAGTCTTTCTTCCCTGGGATTTCTGGCCTCCAGTAACAGGTAATAAAATACATATAAATATCAAAATGTTCCTGTCATCCATCCCATTCTTCAACTATTTGTCTTAACAGAAAGCAAACTGATAAATTACTACTCAATTAAGTAACAACTTCTCAAAGGATTCATGTGTTGTCCATGTGTTGTGTTTTCACTTTAATTTAAATTTGTCACAGGTGGAAATATTTAGCAAAAATAAAAATCAACATCTTTAGGTCTGATGACATATTTATCTCATCTTCAAGTTTTTATCAGAATGATAACTTCTGGCCTGCTCCCTGGAGGAACATCCCTTATTAGTAGATTTGGGCTAACTCCAAAAGGCAAAGATATTATATAATTATCTTTCCAGCCTATGTAAACTAAATTTCTGCTTTAAAAGACTTTTAAAATTTCTCACCTCTGCCAATTATTTTGTCTGCCTCTAGTTTAGAAGGTACATTAAGTATCACCTCTTTACAGGTTTCAGCAGCAAGACTGAAGATCTGGAATTTAAAAGATCACATTAATATAGTACAAAACAAAGATTTTAAAAAACCATAATCATCTCCATAGATGTAGAACAAGCAACTGACCAAATCCAACACCCATTTATAATAAACCCTCAGAAAACTAGGAATACAAAGAAGCTTGCTCAATGATAAAGCTCATTTATGAAAAACAACAACTAACTTCATATTTAAAGGAGAAAGACAATTATATCATCTAACATCAGGAATAAGACAATGATGTCTGCTCTAACTGCTTCTTCTTTTTTTTGAGGCTGAGTCTTGCTATATTGCCCAAGTTGGAGTGCAATGCTGTGATCTGGACTCACTACACCATCCACAGCCCAGCTTCAAGCAATTCTGGAGTCTCATCCGCCCAAGTAGCTGGGATTACAGGTGCCCACCACCATGCTCAGCTAATTTTTCTATTTTTAGTAGAGACGGGGTTTTACCATGCTTCTATTTAACATTATACTGGAACTTCTAGCCAGAAAAATTACACAAGATAATGAAATCAAAGGCATCCAAATTGGAAAAAAAAAAAAAAAGGTAAATTTTTTTCTATTCACAGATGACATAAATTTGTAGACAGAAAATTCCAGGAATCCACTAAAAAACTGCCAAAATGAATAAATGAGTTCAGCAAGGCTACCAGATACAAGATGAACACGTGACTGCATTCCTATACATTAGCAATGAAAAATCTGAAAACTAAGCAAAAAAAATTATTTGTAGAATATCGAGAAGAAAATACTTAGGAATAAATGTTATCAAAGAAGTATAATAGTAATCACTGAAAACCATAAAACATTGCTGAAGGAAATTTTTGAAGACATAGATAAATGGAGTGATGACCCATCTTCATGGATCAGGGTACATATTCCCAAAATTCATCTACAGATTTAATACAATCTCTATAAAAAAATCTCGGATAACTTTTTTGAAGAAATTGAAAATTAATATTTCTAGAAATACAAGATGCCCAAATAAAATTGAAAAAGGAAATAAATTGGAAGACATATTTACCAATTTCAAAACTTACTACAAAGCTACAGTAATCAAAACAGGTGGTAGTGGCAATAGGATAAATATTAGATGAATGGAATATAACTTAAATCCCAGAAATCAGGCCTTACATTTATGGTTACCTTTCCAAAAATTCAAGAGAAATAAATAGTCATCTCAACAAATGGTGTTGGGATGATTTGATATCTTCATGAAAAAAAGTAAATTTGAACCCCTACTTCACACCATACACAAAAATTAACTCAAAATGAACCACAGACACAAATGTTTTAACTAAATTATTTAGAGGAAAAATTGAGAACAAATCTCTATGACATTGGATTACGCAATGATTTCTTATACATAACACCAAAAACACAGTGATAAAGAAAAATTGTTAAATAAGTTTTAATCAAAATAAAAACTTCTGCTTTCCAGAAAATACCACTTAATTTATGAAAGTGAAAATACAACTCATAAAATAGAAGAAAATAGTTTCAAACTAATAAAAGACTTGTACAAAAAATAAATACAGAATTTCTGAAACTCAATAGGCAAAAAATGAAAACAACATGTCCATCAACTAGTGACTAGATCAACAAAATGTTGTATATCCATACAATGAAATGTTATTCAGCTCTAAAACGTACTTTGTTAAGTAATATGCATGCTACAACGTGATAAACCTACAAAGCATACTCAGTGAAAGAACTAGATACAAAACAACACATACTATATTATTTCATTTACATAAAATGTCCAAAATAAGTAAATATATAGGAACAAAGTAAATTTCCATGGGAAGTGGTTGTAAATGGGCATGAGGCTTATTTTTAAGGTGATGAAAAAATTCTAAAATTAGATTATAGTAATGATTGCACATTCTTCAAATTTACTAAAATTCACGGAATTGTACACTTAACAAGAGTGAATTTTATGAAATGTAAGTTATTTCTCAATAATGCAGTTTAAAAACAAAAAGGATACACTGTCATTGATAGTAAAATGATTCCATAGTTACTTCTATAAATTGGCAGTGAAAGGCCTTGTCAAATTTATACATTTACAGAAGTAATTTCAGCACAATAAAATCACATAATAACCACAAAGAAGTATTTCATTTCTGATATAATCAAATATAAAACAGATTTCTGCACAAAGTTAAAAGATTTTCACTTATGGTAACATAAATATAAATATGTGTATATACAAATATATACATTATCAAAATTCTTCTAATTTGTGATCTAAAATTATTGTACTTCTCAAAGTTTCACCTTACCCTCACTTGTTAGTTAGAATAAATGAAAATGTCTCAAAAATATGGACAAATAGAGCTAACATGTAACAGTACTATTTAATTTAGATACAGTAAGCCAAGAAGTCATTTTCAGAAAATCATAACCAGATTGCAAACAGGGACAATGAAGTAATAAGTCATCTGCCCTTTTAAAAAACCATATCATACATATGCCCAAGTTAATATTTTCCTTAAACGTATAGTTGTAACCTTGGGATGAAAAATTGTTTCCTTCAACAAAGCGCTCATTGGTCTAAATGTATTGTAACTCTGTGGTCAGTATTTTAAATCCCAAATAAAAGCCATGCCCTTATATTTAGTCACATCTCTTTTCAAAATATTTAAGTTAACTGTGAAATATTTAAATTAATTCAAACATAATAAATGCTCAGTGTCCATCTAGATCTTTTAAAAAAGAACATTTTGCTATTTTTGCTCCATTTTTTAATTAAAATTTACAGATGTGACTAAAGTCTTATGCTCTATTATATTTCCAACTCTTCTCTAGGGAACAGTTTCTTCTGAAGTTAGAATTTATACTTCCTCAGTAGGATTTTACACTTTTATTATATAGTATATGCTTGTGCTTATAAAATATAAGCTGGTATTGGGTAGTATGTGTTTATATGTGACCTTTTGCAATTTGCTTTTTTCACCCAACAGTATGTTTGAGATTTTTCCAGAAATAAGCCACAGTTTATTTTTAGTCATTCTCCTATTGATGGTTATTTATATTGTTTTTCGTTTCTTCTATTACAAATGATACTATGTGAATAGCTCTGCCTGGAATATAAATTACTGCACCATATATGAACACTTCAATTTCATTAGCTATTGCCAAGTTGCTTTCCAAAGTACTAATATCAATTTTTATTAATGCCCCCAAAATATTAAATCTCTCTATTTCCCATATCCTCCCTTACAAATAATTTTATGACTTTTTCCATTTTGCTAACCTAATGGCTGTTTTAATTTGCATTTTATTAATTTTTAGTGTGATTGACCAAATTTTCTTGTGTCTATTTGCCATTTATCTTCTGTAAGTTGTCTATTCTTCTTTAATCACTAATCTATTAAGGTTGTACTTTTAAATTTTCTTTTCTTGTAGGTTTATGTAGTTTGCTTTTTAACTTTTATTATGAAACCTTTTGATAAACAGAGTGCTTCAATTTGATTTTTTTCATTTGACACATTTTTATTACAAATTTAATATATACCAGATACTCAAAAACTTCAAATTGCTTTTGTTCTTTTAAAGTAGTCACATTTATTAATAATTCTATTTGGCTTCTGAGTCAGTTTTATTAATCATTTCTGCTGGCTGTGCTTCTGTGTATTATTTAAGAACTCCTACCCTATCCTATCTTAAACATCTGATATTGTCTGCTAAAAACTGTAAAGTTACCTCTAACTTTTCAATCGTTTACCCATCTGGAATGTATTTGTACATGATTCACATTAGTCATATAATCTTATCTTTTGCCATATGAACAGCCAATTGACCCAGAATCAACTTTTTTTTTTTTTTTTTTTTTTCGAGACAGAGTCTTGCTCTGTCACCCAGGCTGGAGTGTAATGGCACAATCTCGGCTCATTGCAACCTCTGCCTCCTGGGTTCAAGCAATTCTGCCTCAGCCTCCTGAGTAGCTGGGATTACAGGCATGTGCCACCACACCCAGCTAATTTTTGTATTTTCAGTAGAGCCAAAGTTTCACCATGTTGGCCAGGCTGGTCTAAAACTCCTGACTTCAGGTGATCTGCTCACCTCCGCCTCCCAAAGTGCTGAGATTACAGGCGTGAGCCACCACACCCTGCCCAGAGCCACCTTTCTTAACTCTTAGCTCTTCCTTTCTTAGCTCTTCCTTTCTTTCTTAACTGACACCTTCTTTAGCTCTTTCTTTCTTAACTGACAATGTCACGCCCCAGAATACACATGGTGCCACAAATACGGAATCTGTTTCTGAGCTCCCTGCACTATTTCATCAGTATATGAGTGTATCTCTACATGAATACTACATACTTTCAGTTAATACAGCTTTAAGATAAATATTGGTATTTATTAGAGTGACTCCAATCCCTATCATCTTTTTTTTAAGTAGTATATCTTTGCTCTTTTTAGACTTTGACTCTCAAACAATTGTATGATCAGGTGACCAATTTCTGTAAAAATTTATTTTTGGATGTTGATGAAATTCCATTTCTTTTAAATATTAAAGAGAGTTTGGCATTTAGGGCTCTTGAGTCCATCCATGAACATGATTCATTCTCAATTACTTATGAATTATGTTTGTTTTCAATACAGCTTTGTAATTTTTGCTAGAAAAGTCTTTCACATTTTTTGTTACATTTATCTTAGATGCATTGATTTGTTGCTGTCATGAATGGGATTCTTCTTAACATATTTTTGAGTTGTCTCTTGATAACATATAAAAATCATTTTAAAATATTAAGCTTATACCCATGAAACTTGCTTACTTTTATTAGTTCTAATATCTGTCAATACATAGTGTTGGATTTTCTATGTAGCAAATCCTGTAGCTGGCAAAATGACAATTAGGTTTCTTTTCTTTTAATCCTACAATCTTTTAACCCTAGCAATCTTTCATTATTGCTAATTTTTATCTAATGTGCCTGTTAAGACCTCTTGTGAAATGCTGAATAGAAACAGCAATATTGACCATTGTGGATTTGTTTCTAACTTAAAGGGAATGTTCTTACCATTTTGCCATTAATTATGAGTCTTTTTCTTTTTTCCTTGTAACATTCATTCTTCATTCATTCATTTTTGTTAGATATGTTTCATTACATTAATAAAGTTAATTCTCTATATTCTATATTCTTAGTGTGCTATGAATTCTTTTAAAACAAAAATTTTCCACTTATTTTGAAATGATTAGTTTTTCTTTGTTAATACATTACTATGTTAAAATACAATAATAGATGTTCTAATGTGAAACTATGTTTCCTTTCCTGAGATAACCCTTACATGAACATAATATATTTATATCTTATATTTATGTCTTAGAAATACATTGCTTTATTTTCAATTTATCTCAATATTTCACATACATGTCTGTAAGTGAGATCAGGCTACTATTTTTCAACTTCATACGATCCTCATAAAATGAGTTAAGAAGAGTTCTATATTTTTCTGTTGTAAGAAACAATTTATATAAAGCAGAGACTATTTGTTCCACATAATTTTGAAAGAATTAACTTACCATAAACCTGGGTCTGGTGGATCTAAAGAAGTATGTGTGGAGGTATCTGGTTTCTAATTCAATTTCTTTAATGGTTAGAGGTCTATTTAGATTTTGTATACCTCCTCAAGTCAATGTCGGTTTTGTGTATTTTGTAAGAAGTTGTCTGTTTTGATTGTATTTTCAAATTAATTGGAATTATCTATTAATATTATTATCTTACTTTTTAACATCTGTTCTCTCCAAAACTGTACTTCCTTTTCATCCCTACTATTGTTTTATCTATGCCTTTTCTATTTTGTACTTGCTCAATTACAGCAGGGTTTGTCCATACTCAAGATATTTGGTTTAGTTGATACCATCTATTCTTTATTTCTTTCCTTTTTAAAAAAATGTTCTTCATAAGATATATTATAAATACCAAAGATTACATATAGTATATGTATATGTTTTAATAAATAATAAAATAAACACTAGGGTACTCACATTCAAGGTTAAGAAATGAAGCATTACTAATATTTTCAATGTTCCTAACTACAGTTCATTCATTTTCATTGCTGCATAGGATATTATTAGAAAGAATGAACAGTTAATTCATTAATACAATTTTTGAAAGGGATAATATTCAATATAGATTTCAGTTATGTCTCGAAACTATGAAATCATTTGATACTATATTTTTGTGAGGTTTGGATGCAGTATTAAAAATAAAAGAGTAAAAAAATGTAAAAACACTAGTGTATTAATTATGATGAAGAAATAATGACATTTAAAGATATTTTGTAATGAAAATAACTTCTGTATACAAGACTGCCCATATTTTAAATTAAAATATAGTTAAATTTTAAAATGATGATATAAAGTATTACCTACTGCAGCCTAAGTAAAATAAATTACTTCATGGCATTTTATGGTACTAAGCAACTTGTATTAATTGCATGATAGAAAGCTTATTAGACAAATGATTCAATCCTGATTGAAAAATCTAATGCCAAAGAGAGAGCTAAGATTAAAGGTTTTATCTGCAGTTATTTCACTTTTATGCTATTGTTTAATTTTATAGTGCACACACAAAGAAAGCTTTCTAAAATGGCACCCTACTTCAATACAGAAAGAAGAAAAAGGATGAAAATTTATGGAATGTCTTAAATGTGAAGGGGATCTTCTAGATTGAGCACAGTAATTACAGATTTTTAAACTCTTCATCTCTCTTGTAGCCATAAGTCTTCTGCAAAATGGAAACATTATCTTTCAAATTCTCACCACTTCAAAGGTAAATTGCAAGATTTAGTGCTCTGTGTTCTCAGTACTTAGATGTAAATGAGTCTAATAAATTTGTTTCTACCCAAACTCATCGTAAGATGGAAATTCTAGCTCTCATACTTTCAGTAGAAAGTATGATTAACTACAGGTCACCACAGATACCATATATGGAACCGGACTGCCATGGGAATTACAACAGGACCAAAAAATGTATATGAGCTTACATTTATTTATTCAGTACATGCTTCAGTAACTAGCTGTATCTTAACAGGAACATCAATAATCTCCTTTTAATAAGGTGGCTGATAATGCATAAACCTAAATATATGTATAATAAAACTTCGACTTCTTTAAGCTTGCAGTCTTAAAATAAACTAATTTTTATCTACTTCCTTTATTTGCTTTAAGCTTCTTTTCAAGAATGTAAAAGTCTTTAGAAATTACTATACTCCCTTTTATTTTAAAATGATGAATATATTAAATATTATCAAGAGCAAAAAAAACCCCACACAGCTCTTTCTGGTAAGGACTCACATCATTCATATTACCCCTATAAAATATGAAAATATAGGATGCCTATTTATCAACATAGGTTGCAGGCAGATTTCATATACTCCAAGGAGGAAAGTACAGATTAGAGTCATTTCAAATGTTTCAACTATTTTAGTTCCTTTAGAAGAGGAGCCCTTTTAACAAAATGATGGATTAGCTGTGTCCAAGTACGTGCCATTTATAATGTATAGTAGGTAACATAATTCTTAAAGTGGATTTGATAAAAAGAACAGTATTAACATGTATTTTAAAAAGAATCTTATTATTCGTAATAGGCAGAACACAACTGTTCTCACGTAAATTAGTGCTCACCATCCCTAACAATTCTGGTTACATTAAGAGGAAAAAACACTTTCTGAGGCATTCAAAAACTTACGATAGTGAGATTCCCTAATATACTTGTTTTTTAGTATCCCTCTCTTATTTTTTTCTTTGCACGTGTGACTATTAGAAGCTTATTTACACTTCAGAGTGTGGTGGGGCACAGGGTGGGAAGGAGATACAGCAAAAGTGCAGAATGGGAAGATCCCTCAACCTGTTGGGCTGTTTACTGGGAAGACTAAAATTTAACAAGTCTCAGATTCTTGTTAAAGACTTGCTTTGAAAATCTCTCTCCTTAGAACAAGTAATGTTTTAAAGATATTCACTAAACTCTCTATAAAATGAAAAGTGTTTCTAAACTGCTATGTTGTTAATATTATACTGAAAAGTTGAGAGTGGTATGAGTCAAAAGGAAAGAAATACAGGCATGAGATGGTCAAGAGAATGTTAATTTACCCATGTGGTCCGAAATAGCAAGTGTTTGTAAACTGACAACTCGAGATGAAAGAAATTATCTTTCGATGTACAATTTCTTGTTATTTAAGTCTCCAGATAGGGCATTTAATCTGAACTCAATGGAATCATTTTTAAAAATAATCTTAAACAAGTGTGTCCTAGATCAGAGCTGAAGCTTCCTCCATTTAAATTTGCGCTCTAAACTTTCTTCCTTGCCACAACCCGACACCCAACCCAGGCCACCCCGGGACAACCCCTGGTCTCCATGTCCTCCAGGAGCCTCCAGGGAATTCGAGAAATTCTCAGGGCAGCACCCGCAGTTTCGTTCCCCCATCCCCAATCCCTTCCTAAAGGAAACGCAAAACCCCAAATGCATACTAGTAAACTCAAAAGCTGAAAACGCTTTTAAATATATTACAAAAGAACACATTTTGCAAGCACTTCCCATTTGTAGTCATTTCATAAGCTCAGATACTTTGTTGGAACAGTTCCTGGGAAAATGAATGCGCTTATTTGCCCAATTCCTTCTCCGTAAACATAACGTAGATCATAACTAGCAATCTCATATTCATATCTCTCTGATTTAAAGGGAGGACCACCCTTGGACCCACTCGCCGGGGTGGAGGGCCAGGAAGCAGTAAGAATCCGCGAGGCCAGGTTCGACTCACTGCCCACGCGGGTATAGACCTCGCTCCCATCGGACCCCATGGGCATCCACGGGTGCTGAGAAGTCTAGGGTCCGCGGCTCCTTTCTGGGCGTGTGGTAAGAAACTGCTGGAAGCCTGAAGCTTCGCGCGTAGCCGCGCCGCCAGAGTTCCGAAAACCTCAAGTCTCCCGTGTTCTCAGAGCATTGTCCCTAACTTCCTCTCCAGGAGAATTTCGTCCTGGGTGGCAGGTTTTCGGAGACTCGAAACCCCAGGCTGTCTTGGTCCCGCAGTCCTCCCTGGAGCCAGAATAAGTAGGACCCAACCCCACTGCATCCTCATCCTCGCCCCACTCCCCAGCCCCGCCACTGTCACCCTCTACCCGCCTCCCCACCTTGGCCGCATCCCCCAAGCACACCACGACCCCAACCACCATTCTGGCCTGACCTTCCCACACCTTCGCGTCCCGGGCACGTCCCGCCCCCAGCTGGGTGGCTGGCGGGGGTGGACCACTTCGGTGAGCTCCTGACTAGCCCTTGGAGGAGCTACCGAGAGACCCGCTTCTCAGAGGCAGCCCCCACCAAGGGACCCAGGGACACGGCCCCGCTCCACTCACTAACGAACCCATCCACATCAACTGGGACCAGGAACGGGGGAGCGGGCAGCCCCTAAATCCCATTTCAAGTTTGTGCTTTGGGCTGTCAGGGATCCTAAAAAACTGACCAACAAACACTTTTCCTCCCTCTCCACCCAAAGGCACCCTCCAACCACCATCACCACCAGCTCTACCACTTGGGGAGCGGCGCGAATCCCAGCCCCCTACCCGACCCGCCAGAGCGCTGCGAAGCCTGACCGCGACTCAGAATTCCAGCGGTCGAACGCGGTGTCTCAAAACAGAAAGCTGAGTCCAGAGTCGACCCGCAAGCACACGTTTTCTCCCTCATCCCTGCAGGCCCGAACTTGGGGCTGGTACCCCCCTAGCTCATTGATCTGAGCCGCGGTCATCACATTTCGGCTTGCTTTGTACCCCGCCCCGCGCAGCGTCCAGGACGGATCCACCCCCGTTCCCATCCCGGCCCTATCCGGTGGGGCCCAGCTCACCACGAGGGTCAGCAGCAGCTGCCTGCAGACCGCTCCTCGTAGGGAGCGCCGGGGCCCAGCGGCGGCCATCGGGACGCTGGGCACGACCAGGAGAACGCGGTGGCCGGGAGGGTGCTGAGAGCCAGACCTGCGGGGCGAGGGAGGTGCTTTTCTCGCCGCTGCTTGTCTTTAAGTGCCGTTGGCCTGTCTCAGGCTTGCCTGTCTCAGGCTTGCCTGCCGGGGAACATCTTCACTCCTGAAACCGGATTGGACCCAGAGGACGCGGAGAGGCCACTCCTTGTTATTTCTCAAGTTTTATCATTGCCGGCGCCGCGGAGGAGCTGCCTGAGCCTGCCCCTCTGCTCCCCAGCAGCCGCCGGGGAGTTCGCGCTCAGGAAAGCGGTCCCTGGCGCACCCTTTGCCAGCTCTCCCACGCCGCTCGTCTGCCTCAGGGCGCTGCCGCCCCTCCCGGCCCGCAGAGAGGCCCTGGCAGCCCAGAACGTCCCAGGGCCGCCCCAACGCCGGTGCTGCGCGGTGCATCTCAATGCAGAACCCAAAGCCGCCCGCAGGGATCCCTGCCTCAACACGGGCCCTTCTGGATGCCAGGAACACTCTTGTCATTGGATCAGCGGATCTGCACTTCGACGTCTGAACAAATTCTGCCAATGTTTTCAGATTCAAACAAAATACATGTACTGTATTCTCTCCGGAGTTTACTAACATGACAAAGCACACGACAGAAGGAATTTATCCCAAATAGCATGAATAAATGTGTATCTGGCATGTCAGAAATTAAAATTAAATATAAGAAATTCTGTTTTGACCATTTTTGCTCACCCAAAATACGAATGATTACACTCACGGCTGTACTTTTTTTTTTTTTTTTTTTTTAGTCTTTTTTTTAGGCGGAATCTCACTCTGCAGCGCAGGCTGAAGTGCAATGACGCGATCACGGCTCACAGCAACCTTCGCCTTCCAGGTTCAAGCCATTCTCCTGCCTCAGCCTTCCAGGTAGCTGGGATTACAGGCATGCGCCATCCCGCTCGGCTAATTTTTTGTGTGCTTAGTATAAACGGGGTTTCTCCCTGCTAGTCAGGTTGGCCTCGAATTCCCTACCTCAGGTGATTCACCTGCCTCAGCCTCCCAAAGTGCTGGCATTACAGCCGTGAGTCACCGCCCCCAGCCTCAAAGCTCTATTTATTGACAGTTTGAGGGACTTATATGAGCCTCCTGAAAACGATTTTGTTCTTAGATGTAAATTATTGGTTTACTCCTTACTGGCACCAAAATGAATTTTTTCAGTTGATCACAGGAATATCTACCACACAAAACCTTCTAAAACGAGGCTTACAGATTCTAAATTATGCAACTACTATTTATCAAGCCCCAAAGCCTACCAAGCTTTATGTGAGGGGATGTAAGAAAGGAAATGCATAAAATCCAGTTGTTCTCAGAAACAATTCAAAGTCAGGAGGGGATGAAAGACAATCATTTCTAGCCCACTAGGTTAAACTTTTTAATAGAGATGTAGTTTGTAACACCAGGGGCACATTCTCTTATTTCTCTCGAAACTGAATATTATGTTCCCTAAGTCCCCATCTACTGGATTCAGGAGGAAACTCCTCTCAGACATGTGTTGCTACTCCTTGAAGTCCATTCAAAAGTTCCAAGGTCAGGACTTTCGGGCAGTCAATTAATCATGAAAGGATGTTATGGCTTTCATTTGTCTCACTCTGGCTCAAGTCTAATAAACTCCTTGTCATCTAAGCCATGTGTCCCCTGAAGTCTGGGGCTTCCCTGAAATTCATGAGGCTCAGCTTCAAGGGCTCAGACATTCTAAGTTGAGCTTCCCGGTGTAAATCTCCCAGGCACCCATCAGGGGTGGTCTCTGTGTGGAAGAGCCCTTCTAGTCTCAGAGGAAGTTCTCCAAACTTTTCTTCACTCCAGCGTTTTCACCTCCCACCCTCCAAACCATTGTCTCCACCATGACCTCAGAGAAGGCTTCTCGAAGTCTCTTCCAGCCCCAGCCAGCCTTCAGAAACCCAAGTAAAATGGCTGTCTTGAAACTTACATGAGTAAAGGAGATGCTAGCACCAATCTCCCTCCCTCCCCACTTTGCATTCACTGTTAGAGTGAAGGGTTGAGGTGTTAAGGCATTTTAAAGGAGAGGATCTAACTCAGACGAAGAAGCTTTGAAGAAGCAAGGGTAAAAGAATGCTCTGGGACAGGAGAAGCTCTGGGGAGACTTGTGAGAGTGTCTCAGGCTAAGAAAGCAATAGCGGGTGGTTCAGAATGGTTGGATGGAAGAACTCCTGGCTGGGAATTAGGTTAGAAAGATGGCTCATGACAAACCATGCTGAGGAATTGAATTTCATCCTGACAGAAATGGAGAACCAGCCCTTCAATGTGTGAAAAGGGTTAACAATATGTGAACTACTGTTACAGAATTCTCACTTTTGTTGAGTTCATATGAGCCCGTTTGTGCTGTGATACGGCTTTCTTTAATACCTAGGGAATAAAAGACTTTCAAGCGTTTTTCTTTATTCTAACTATTCTTAGTTTTTCTATGGTTTCAACTTTACCTTCAGATTTACGAGGGTCTGGCCTAATTATGACTGTCCTCTGAAAGACTAAAACTCTAAAATTGCCATCCTCTGGTTGTTTTGACTATGCTGTGTAATAGAGGATATTGTTAAGCTTACTGACTATATGACAATTGCTGTGAGCTTCCATTTTTAGCTTCTACAAAATAAAAGTTGTAAGAATCTACTTTAGAAATACTATAAGAAAACATATTATGGATATTTTTAACTTGTATTGCAAATTCTAGATGCAATATGAACACTAATAACTGAATGCAGGATTAGTAATGATTTTGGAATTTCCTGCTTTGTTATAAATGGTACTTGCCCATCATGAGTATATTAATCTAAGTCCTAATAAAAACCAATGCATTTTTATAATTTAATGAAGAACCTTTACTGATCACAACATAAACATGACTTGAGGATAAATTAAATTGCTTATATTTTTCCCATATAAATTATGATATAAAACAGTTTGTTGAGACTTTTTAAAATATGACCTTCAGTTCAGATACAGTGAGAAGTGGATACTTTTCTATTGCAAAATTAATTTTAAATCATTATGAGATATCATAAAGCATGAAGAGTTTTCTGAACTGTCTTTATCTTAATACCCTATCCCTCAAACTTCAAAGTCAGTTGGAAGTCACTGCTAAAAGGGTAATGACCCAAAATGGAATTTTCCCTTGTTATATTCTTAGTTTGAAGGGTAAGAGCAGCGATAACAAAGGATCAAAAATGGGAAGTGATTTTAGACTAAAGAATAAAACTTTAAGAATTGAGGTGAATTGCAACATTTTCAGGAGAAAGCAAACAAGATAATTAAGAAGAGTACTCTTATTCTATACCTATGAGAAGTCTCTGGCCTGGAACAGCTAACTAATCTTAGGAGGTGGGACCTGACCTCTGGCTCACAAGCCAGGCTGCCTTGCACAACGCAGCACCAACAGGTGTTAGTCTAACAAACCTACTCATCTCGGTGCCTTACCCGGACAGTGACATGACAAGTGTAGGTTTCCTCAAACACTCCTATAAAACACGGCCAGGACAACTGTATGATGTTTGAGACAAATTTATGAGAAAAAGTGAGTTAATTTATGAAAAAAAGTTTGGAGTAAAAACAAGTAAAAGATTTGTTTAAATGGACCTTGTGGCACAAAAATGAATTCTGCAATGAGACATGAACTCAGAAGCATGTTTAAAATATTATTTAGGATAAATAGCCACAGTGTGACTAGAGGCTCTTTCTCTGTGAGAAAATCATGACTTGTTGGTCATTTCAAAAGACTGCAGGGGCTTTAAGGATAAGAGAAAGTTTAAGTCAAGAGTCAATTATAAATATTGCATTGCTGCCCACTACAAAAGCCATCCTCAAATCTCCATGTGCTGCCTTCTCTCCTGTCTACCCATGGCAAGCACCTAATTAGCACTCAGTACTAATTTCACTCCCATGGGAATGCTCCTCCACACAGCAATGAGAACCTTCACTCTAGACCAAAATGACCCTCGGCCTCCAAGGAAGGAGACATTTGCCCTCCCCTCTATTATCCGGTGGATATCCTCATGTCCTCACTTCTCATCCTAGAATTCACATCTCCCCAGAATGATTGACAGGAGGACTATCCCTTTCTCTCAGGAGAAAGCTCACTCCCATCCACAGAAGTGTGACCTTTCACTATAACCTTGGCAAGTATCATTCAAAAGTCGAACATTTGTACGTTTCTCAAATTCAGCATTATCCAGTCTAAATAACACTATTACAACAGTTCAATCTGGATAGGGCATGCCAACCTCAGAAAGATTCCCTTCCAGTCTCTCCTTGTTAATTAGTGAGTCAAGATCTGTTACAATGGACTTACTCTTCCTCCACTAAAATCTTCAGACTCCTTTACAAATATCCTCTTCTTCAACCAGTCCTTTTAAGGAGGGAGGAGCAATCTTCCAGTAACTTTTCACTGGCTGGAAGGAATGGTAGTTTCCACACAAAAGACAAAACCCTATTGTGTGAGTGATAACTTCTTATAGCAACTAAACTACTAAAGCCATGTTATAAAACCCTAATACAGGTTGAATTTTTGTCCACCTCATCTCAGAATCATCACATAATTCTTCATTTTGATTTCCTCTAGAGGGAAAAATCTCCCAATAGGGAGAGACTGCAGTTTCTCCTGCCTGTTCACATGTCTCCAGGAGCTCATTGTATGCATCTGTCTGTTCAAAGGGCATTGCTCAAGAGTGAATATTACAGGTGTGAGTGGGCTGACTTTCAGGCTTCATGTGTCAATGATCCCAGCGTCACTCCCTGATTCACTGCCCCATCAGTCTTCCTATTTCCCAGAAGTTCAGGATGACCATGCCTCAACATCAGCCTGGAAAAATGGTGTATTCCCCAGCTTAGATGTCTATTAATCAGCTCAGGAGCAGAGAGGCAGCTTTTGCCACCAGCTCCCCATAGGCTAGCAAGTTATTTAATTCAACAGTTATTTATTATTTTAATAGTTCATAATTACATATGAATTAATGCTATTTACCTCCAGATTTTTTCATCTTGATTAGTCTTTTCAGCCTGCCCAGCTTCCCAAGTCTTTTTGCCATTAGATGAGGGATAGCTTTCTACCAATTAGCTATTTAGTGTTCACTGAGCAGGCTCAGTCCCACAACAATAACCAGTTCTTTTCTTGCATTGCTTTCAAGGTTCATACCTGCATCTGCCCTTCAGTGTTTAAGCTGCACCCCTCCCTAACTGATAAGCACTAGTCTTGACTTGCGCACATCTATGACGGGTTATACAAGATCTCTGTTTTTCTAAATAACTCA